AAGGTCAACCCGTTTAGAGTCGAGTCAATTTGGGTTGGACCTGAACCCGACAATTATGCCGTTTTGACACCTCTAGCTACTAATCACCCTCTACCGTATTAATGAATTCCACATTTTTTGCAATTTTTATAATAAGTTGTGAGTTTTTGTTTACAATTTTTAATCGCCTTATGCTAACTCGCTTGATGTTTCTGTAGATAAAACAAAAGCTACAATCACTAATAGGACCTAGAAGTCCTGAAGGGAGTCATCATTTTGATTGAGAGGAAAAGGGGGGGGGGGATCCACTAAGGGGCCCACTAAGTTTATTCGGAAGGATGCACCTCCTAAGAAGGCAAGGTTGGATTAAGGGTAGGGAGTTTGCCCAAAGATGTTGACTGTGAAGAAAATAAAAGCACCAAAGGAAGTGTTTCCTCCCCCCATTGAAGGAAATGGGTCGACGATAGATGCCACCATAAAGAGGAGTGGTGAGTAGTGGGGCTAAGAAGAGGAAGCAGCCTATGCTGAGGAGAGACTGGACAAAGGGAAGGGACTTGCCGAGAGAAGCGGTTAGTCGTTGGGCAGAAACTCATTTGACAGCGACTCGTCAAGTAGCAACTTAGTGAGTTAAAGTGAAGAGAGTACATCCCTTGGCCAGACCTCCAAACCAATGTCTCAGAGCTCATGAAAATACTTTGAGTAGCATGTCATCGCCCACTCTCAGGTATATAGGACAACATCAAAAGGATTCTTGCCAAGGGGCTTTATTACTTTATGATGAAGGTAATTGGGAAAGTATGGCAGACAATATTTTTCCTATTTTACTACCACCTAGAGTAGTTAGATAAAATTCAATGTCTAAAAAGAGTTTATAGTGAAGTCCAAAAGCACCTGGAGGATGAGAAAAATGATAGCTCATTACAACTAACAGGATGTTGAATATAAAATTGTCCGTGGATAACACCAGACTTTATTATTAGACCCACTCAAAGATGTAAAAAACTTGTGAGTGGGAATAGTGAGTATAGAGGGAGAACCCGGGATTAAGTAGATTTTTTCCAATTAGTCAAAGATATTTTTTTTTCTAGGGTCCCCTAAAACAATTCCCATTATCCCTTATTTCTAGAATTATAGGGGCTATAGAAAGGCTATATACAGAAAAATAGTAAAAATACAATGTTACACCACACATTATACACGTGTCGCATCCTAATTGGCAAGAGGGATGGAATGGAGGAATCATCTCTGGCTGAGTGAGACATTGCTGAGTATGCAATGGGCGAATGAGGTAGAAGGTGAGCTCCCTGGTGAGTATGCTAACTTGTGCACACTTGGATGAACTTTGTAGTGTAAGTTTGATTGGGAGTTGTGGTAAATTGTGCTGAGTCTTGGGTCGTTGTGGTAGAATAAGTGAGTGAATTGAGGTAGTTGAGATAATATATTATGTTCAGGATTGGTAGGGTGATTAGGGAGTCCTACATAATAATCTTCCTATATTTGAGCTTGGATGGGGGAATAATAGCTCTAAGGAAAGAGCTAATGATTGAGTTAATAGTGATCTGTTTGTCCAAAAAATAATCTCTAATTCACCTCATATAGGGAGAGTCATTGGTATGCTCAGGCGAGTGTTCAAAAGGAACTCTTCTTGAGGGTGATTATCCTCGCTATGACCCAGAAACTACATACTAAAGCCCCTGTGAAGGCATTTATGTATTCACATTACTAAAATCTTAAAAGATTTGTTGAGAGCTTATAATGTTGAGTTTAGAGGTACATGGGAAGATTACATTTCCTTGTGAAATTTACTTATAGTAATGGTTTCTAAGATATTATCCAATATGGCGCCATATGTGAGCCTCTTTATGGTAGAAAATGCATCTCTCTTTTGTATTGGTTAGAAAAAACTCTTAGGACCTCAACTATTTGATTAAACTATTTTGAAGATCCACTTGATTCAAGAATGGCATTGTTCAAGTTAGTGGCATTAGAAAAAATATTTTGACCCTAAGAATAATGAGTTTGAGTTTGAGATTGGAGATCGTGAGTTTCTCAAGGTTTCAGCTATGCATGAAGCTGTAAGATTTGACAAGTGCGTAAAGTTTTCCACTTTGTTGATCCTTTTGAGGTGATTTGGAGAATTGTTAGAGGTTCATATCAATTGGTTCTTTCTCTAATGCTTGTAGGAATGCATAATTTTTTTCATCTCTTTATAACAGTGCTACATGTATGATGATTCTTATATAATCCAATTCGAGCCACTATTAATTCAAAAAGATTTGATCTATGAAATTATGTCATAGCATTTTTTTTTTTTAATTGTAAGATGTGACAGCTTCCTCATCAATCTATTTCATTTGTTATGATACTTTAAAGCAATGTGGGAGATTATAGAAATGATCACCAATTGCCCACTATTCACCCTACAAGCTCAATGTGCTCTAGAAATTTTTGATCAAGTATTGCACTTAAAAATTTGGTCAGATGGTTTCAATTAAGTCTATGCAAAAAATAGACACACAATCAGGATGAATCAAATATTTGAAGATAAACCTATTTGGTTAGAAACTTGTAATGTACCAATCATATAAAAGAACTATTCAAAATAAAATATCAAAGTCATATAAGGCAAGCAATAAAGTGAGGTCAAAATAATCCAAAGAAGCCAAAATTGTTTTCAGCTATACATATATTTGAGCCACTTATTTTCTAGGTCAAAATATTTATAAAATATGATTGAAGGGCTTGTTAATAATTAACTAAATTAATTTTAAAAATTAGACACTAATATTGTATGAAAAATTAAAATACTATATTAATTGCATTTACGAGCATCTACGAGGCTTTGTAGACCTTCACAAATATCACGGGTTAGTGGTAAGTCTGCGCTTACGCTATAAACATACAATTATTTTGGAACTGAAAAAAATAAATACTATGGGCCTCCACAAATGTGATTCATGAAAGATTTAAATGACATATTCTAGTCATTTTGAGCCTGATCACTTAACAAAATTAAGGGATTTTTAAATGTTGGTTGCTGGTATAAAAGTGGGAAATATTTTTTGTTATTAATTTTAATGATTTAATTAAATTTATACACTATTGGAATAAATACCTAATTATATTTGTGCATTGGGATTGAAGATTACACAAAAAAATCAAAAGATCATTTTTTTTAAAATCAGCCACTATATTTCTTCCTCATGCAAAACTTAGTTATGATTTTAAATGTAGTGGAGAGAAACAATAAGCTTTCTTTGTCTCAATAAAATGCTTTGATACTTTGGTGATTGATGCACTCAGCTTCTCCATGTAACAAGTAAATTCACATAATAAATCACTTGTGTAAATTTACTTTTAGATGATTTGATTAGTATTTTAATAATTATTTTGGAGGAAAACACCAATAGAAGGTACTCCTATCGAGGAAGGGAGGTTGTCCCAAAAGTGAGAGAAATTATTCTGTGCGGAGACCGGATGCAGAAAATTATCCGAAGACCAATCAAAATACGTCACTCAGCAGTATCGAGCCGCGGTACCGAGCGACGAGGTGATGTGGCGCATTCTGATTGGTCTCCATACGGCATTCGACGTCCGCATAGAATAATTAATCAAAAAGTGGATATTGGGGTAAATGCTTCTTTGGCTATTGAAGGAGCAACTATTTTATGAAACATATATCTTGCACAATCAACAGCGTAAGGAACTGAAATCTTTAACCTTATGAACAACTAACTAGATCAAGGAAAAATGAGGAATAAAACAAGGAAATGAAGAAAAAAGATGTTGCTCTTAACTGCCATCATTTGAGCAATAGTGATGATGATGAGATGGCATACAAACTATGCAAAAAAAATAAAAAAAAAAATTGTTAAAATTTTAAATTAAATTAAAAAATAAAGGTATAGGTGAAAAGAAATAGTCCACAATATACATAAATTTAACAAGTTCGATCATTTCAAGTTTGAATGCCTTTTGAATAAAAGTAAAAGAAAAGAAAAAAAAAAACTTACAACCAAAAAGAACAAGAAGAAATAAAAAGTTACTAGGATGGACTGAGATAGTGAAGGAACAATCACAAAATCATTTCATCAAGAGGAAACTAAGATATGCTTATTGGCCATGGATGATACCTTCGATGAGATAATTGAAAACATGTCTTATGATGAGTTACACACGGGCGTAAGTGAACCGAGCTAGTTCCGAACTCAACTCGATAACGAGCTCGAGCTCTCAACTCGATAACGAGCTCGAGCTCTCAACTCGATAACGAGCTCGAGCTCTCAACTCGATAACGAGCTCGTCTATTAAACGAGCTCGAGTTAGAGTGAAGAGGCTTGACTCGAGAGCAAGCTCGAGTGCGAAAGGTAGAACCATGAAGGCATGGAAGGCGAAGGGAAAAACCATGGGATCGGAAGCAGGAGTAGGATGAATCGCAAGCACATAAGTAGAAGCAGGAGCGCAAAAGCGGAAGCTTGGACGCGAAATCGCGTGGAACCACAGACGCGGAAGTTGGAATTGAAATCTAACAAATGTTGTTAGATCTCCTCCTTCAAAGCCTGTTCATTCCATTCATTCCACCAGTGAACCTAAATTTGAGTTCCCAAGCTAATGGAATATTGAATTTTTGTGTTAGTACCCATTTACTTTAGGATCAATGAAGGCAAAAGATACTTGGACAGCAATTTTTCGTAACTTATAACAGGAAACTGCACACACTATTTGCTTCAATGGAAACTTTTTTTTTTTCAATGGAAACAAGAAATGGAAGCTACATATCATTAGGAAAATTATTACAAGAAAGAGAATTGGAGTTTGCACACCATTATTTATGGCTCCTCTATGATTGAGAAGCTCTTAATGGTTAATGGATTAAACGATAACCTAATCAGCATCAACCAAAAAGGTGATATAGGGTATGATGTTCAGTTTTCTTCAACATAAGTTTTGATTAAGCTAAATAATGAAATATACTTTATGGGTCATAGGTACAATAAACTTTATTTGCTTCAATTGAATAGTTTTTTTTTTCTAATATTCTAAAATGTTTAAATGGAATTTATGATGACCCCTGGTTATGTCATATACAATTTTGCCATGCTAGCATGCATATCTTATCCAATTTGTTTAGAAATTAGTTGGTAGTTGGATAATGTCAGTTGCATTACTCTAACGATCAATTATGAGATGACAATCAACTAAGAAAGCATACTTATAGGAAGTACTTGAGTTCGCAAGTAACCCCAAGGGTAATACTTGAGTTCGCAAGCAAACCTAGCAACATTGGATAGAAAACAGTGAAAAAAATTGCTGTTTACAGCAGTCAGACAGCAACTACAGCAGTTTTCCTTAGGAAAAATAGAGAAATCTGAGGAAACAGTGGAGAAATTCACTAATAGATGCAAGAAAAACAGCAAAGATACATGTTTCTTCTATTCGAGAGGAAGAAACAACTCTCCAATTCTCTAGCCAAGCCTAGAGCCCAAGAACACAAACCCTAGATCTCAAATCTTTTCTCAAATTCAAGATGAAATCCTAATTCTAACATTAACCAATAATTAAAGACAAAAGAAAATTACAAATTCCCTAAATAGCCCCTAATTCATATTTTTGCCTCCAAACAATTATTTTTCAAGGTGTGGGGCCCAAGGGAGTGGCCGGCCCCCCTCTCTCTCCTAGCTTGGGCTGGCAGTGGTAAACCCAAACCAGTCCACTAGGGACCGATTCAGGAAAGGCAGCCGGCCCCTCCTGGGCCGGCGTAATACATACTTGTACATCTTTTAAGTGTATATTATAGTTGATGATTATTCAAGCTTTACTTAGTATTTTTAGTCAACAAAAGTGATGCAATAATAGAATTCATGAAATTTGTTAATGGATTTAGAAAGAAAAGAAATCATCTCTGTTATATATTATGAGTGATTAATGAGAAGAATTTGAAACTGATAAGTTTGAGACTTTTTGTGATGAAATTGGGATTAGACAACTTTTCTGTATCTAGAACATCACAGCTGAATGGTATAGAAATGTGGAAGAGAGATATTATTAGATATGTTTAGAATAATGCTTAGTGAACTCGATATGTATAAATACTTTTGGGCTAAAATAATGTACATCTTGCTATGTAAATAACATGGTAAATATTAAATTGGCAATTAGAAAATACCTTATGAGATTTGGAAAGAAAGGACGTCAGATGTATGTCTTTTTCATATTTTTTGGTGTAGATGATTCATATTGAGGAATGAAAAGGAAAATTTGATGAAATTTGATAATAGATTTGATGGAGTATTATTGTGATATTCATAGAATAATTAAGAACATAAAGTATTTAGTTAAAATATCATTAATTGAGGAATAATCTATAAGTGATATCTATTTAATAGACTACTTAGGACAAAAAATTTGCATGATGAGGAGATTGATAAACTAGAAACCTTAAGCCTGTATCAGCTTGAAGCTTTTAAGGAGGAACCACTAGCATTTGAGTTACCTAAGGAGTGGTGTTGTGCTTCAAGTCATCCTAGGGAACTTATCATAGACTTGTTTAAAATGAGTTAGAACTAGGAGTGCAACTAAAGAAGAGGTGTACTATTCTGCATTTCTATCACATTTAAGCCATCAAAAATACAGGAAACTTGAGAGGATGAATTTTTGGAAAGTACAATGCAAGTAGAATTGATTTAATTCATTAGGAGTGATATTTGAGAGTTAGTACCTAGACCCACTGATTAGTATGTGATAGAAACTAAATGGGGTTATAACAATAAAGCAAATGATTCATGCACTATAGTTAGGAATAAGGCTAGGTTAGATAAAAGGGATAGGCTTTGAAAATATTTTCCCCTTGTAGTTAGATTAGTAGCCATTAGACTCTAACTAGCATTTGCATATTTTATAAATTTTACTTTATGTCAAATGTATCTTAAGATTTGATTTTAGAAGGGATCATAGAGGAAAATATGTTTGTAGAAAAGTTATCTAGTTTTATGTATTATGTTTTCTATGTCAAATGTATAAAGTGAAGAAAACACTTTATGGACCAAAATAAGCTCATAGAGTCCAATATGAGAGATTAAGCACATTTCTTATCAGTTTGTGATTTTGCAAAGAAAAGGTAGGCACTACATCATTTATCAAGCAAATTGAAGGAGACATGATAATGACTCAAATATATGTATATGATAGTTTACTTAAGAGCCCCAAAATGTTAGTTATGTTATGAATTTGTAAGTACTATGAGAAAAGAGTTTGAGACGAGCTTAATTGGAAAACTAAACTACTTCTTTGGTTTACAAGTAGAAGGATGAATGAATACTTTTATCTCAAACCAAGTACATTCAAGATATGATTAATATGTTTAAATTTAACATGAAGGGATTTAAATTGGTTGGCACCTCTATGAGCCTAATAATTATGCTAGAAAAAAAATGCAAATGGGAAGGCAATAGATTTTAAGCTTTATAGAGGTATGATATGGTCCTCATTATATTTGATAACTAATAAACCATATATTATGTTTCTATAGGGATATGTACTAGATTTCAAGTAGATTCTAAGAAGTCACACATGACAGTAGCAAAAGAACTTTTATAAGCCTTATAGGAACACCGAACTTAGGATAATGGATCCCTAAGAACAAGTTATCTTTTGATCTTATAGGATGCTCTAATGTTGACTATGTAGGATGTAGAGTCAATTAGAAGAACACTTCATGCACCTATTAGATCTTAGAACTTCCACTTATATCATGATAGAGTAGAAAGTATAATTCTATTACTTTATCCATTGCAGAGGCAAAGTACATAACTTTAGGTATTTGTGTTTCAAAATTACTTTCGATTAAGCTATAACTAGAGGATTATGGCCATTCTAAATCACATTCAAGTTAGGTGTGACCGTGTGATGTTATAATTAATTCTAATCTTGTTTTCAATAAATATAAATCGGCATTTGGGAACTTAGTTTACCTTTTTACTAGGCAATAAAAGAAAGACGAAATGAAGAAGAACAAATTATCATACAAGAGAAAAAAAAAACTTACCTTTGTGCATGCTACCATGCAAGTGAATTTAAAATCTTTATCTTTAACTTATTCTTGGAAAGAGTTATCAGAACAACGCTCTTTCTTCAGTCAGAAGCATATTGATCTGTGTAATGGGTGAGCTGTCGCATACTCTGTGCCTTCAACGTTAACTTTTGAACTCTTGACTTTGCAGCAACCATACTCTTCCTTTCAAGTGCTTCCAGCAATATAGCACTTGAATGACTCCTAGGAATGAATCCTTTTAATATCATTTCCTCATAAAATATGCATGCTTGCTTCAATTTCCCCGTCCGACATAGTCCACGCACCAGAAGTGTATATGTTCCAAGGTCTAGGCTGATATCCCTTTTAAACATATGGCCCAGTAAATACAGAAGGACCCTCATCCATTTCCTTGAACATGACAACTTAAGTAAAGGAGAATAAGTCTTGATATCAGGCTTGCATGAAGTTTCGTCCATTATCACAAGGAGTTTCAAAGCATGCTCTGCCTGAGAATGATTACAGGCAGCTGAAATTAAGGTATTGAATGTGGTCACATTTGGAGAGATTTCTCTTTTATGCATTTCCTCATATACATTATAGGCTTCTCTTAATTGACCTGCTCTAGCGAATATGTAAATTAAGGAGTTGTAGACTGAAGCATCAGGCAAACAACCATCAGTCTTCATTTGGTCAAGAACGGAAAAAGCTGCTTGAGATTTCTTTGCCTTTCCAAAAGAATGCATTATGATGGTATAGGTTATGACATTAGGTTGGCATCCCTGAGTTCTCATCTCATCAAGAACAGCTTCAACCTTCTGAAAATCTCTTTCCAAGCAGTAAGCTTCGATTAAACTAGTATATGTAATTACACAAGGCTTAAAACCAAATTCTATCATTTCCTCTAAAGTCTTCCAAGCTTCTTCAAGTTTCCTTGCTTTGCACCATCCATGAATCAATATATTAAAACTGCTAGCGTTGGGAGCTATTTCTCTTCTTAGATCCAAAAAGGCATATCTAGCACGCATAACACTCCTCTCCTTGCATAAAGAATCCAACAGAATGTTCATAGCCACAGTATCTTTGCTAATCCCAAATTTCACCATGCCATGAAAAGCCCTTACGGCATCCTTCCATCTAGCAGCTCCAGCTAGCCTTCTGATGACCTTTGTGATAGTTGATAACGATATTAGTCCACCAATTCCACTCATTTCCTCAACCAAGCCCCACATTGTGTCAAATTGCTTCGATTTTCCCAATATGTCAACCATCATATCATACGAGTCACGGGAGTGCTTGTATCCCATACGAGCGTCGGCCCACCTGAAGAAACCCAATGCAGGGATCCATTCATTGTTAAACCTTTTCAATATTTTGTCAACCAAATTCTTTGAAACCTTTGGGGAGTAATTATTCAGAGTAGAGACAACTTCTTCAGGAGAACCGAACCTTACCTTCAGTACATTGCTGATTGGATCAACATCAACATCAACAGCCTCAGAATGCTCGATCCGAACAACAGCTTTTCTACTACCACGCCTACCTTCCAAATTCCCCGACCGTGTGGGAAGCAAAAAGTCATCTTTCGAATCCAAGTCACAATCCTGCTCTCCCTCCGCAAACCTAAACCAATCAGGCAGCTCTGGTGAATAAACCACGTTAGAGAAGTCACCGTAACGATGATAGATCGCTAGAATCTTTGGAGCAGAAACTTTGCAAAACGGAAGTGAAGCCCAGGTTTGCTGATAACGACCAATCTTAAGTAAGACCCACATTTCAAATCCAGTCAAAAGACTCGAAAACCAAAGGAATTACTCTAACGGGCATTTCGTCGAACAGATGGTCTGCCATAGCAAAGCAACGGAGGAGGTCAGCTCGGTTTTCTTGCAGATCGGGGACAGGACACGCACCCTTCTCCTTCATGAGAAACCCTCACCCTTCTCCTTCATGAGAATGGCACGTGATTAACATAAAAAAATTCACTCCTCTCACGACATATAGGCGTGATTTATACGAGACAACTAGTAGTGCATCGCATACCTTTTCTCTCTCTTGAAGAAGATTAGTCTCCATCAATTGAGCATCCATCAGTAAATTCTCCTTTTTTTTTTTCTCTCTTTGACCAAGATTCACCACAATTGTAAGTATTCTTCTCATTATTGCCATACGCCCTTTTTTCTCTCTCAAACTATAATGCTCCTCTCACCTTCCTCTTCATTATTATTATATCTTTGCGACTTTCCCCATTATAACTATTCGAACACAACAACAAAATCAATGCATAAAAGACACGTCAGCTCATTATGTATTTCTTCCTGATGCTCACGTGTACATGACTGCCTTGTATTCTTTAAATACCGCTGTATGCACTGTGGACTAGATAGGGAATAATATTCTACTTTTACTCTCTGTATATTTCTCTTCTCCTCTAATTCTTCTGCGATTCAAGAACTGCGCGCTCTCAGTCAGGTCGGATCTTCAATAACAGACTGCCCTTTAGTTTCATTGAGGCATCAACACCTTATCTTCTCTACTTACGTTAGTGAGAGGAGATTTGCTTATTAGTTTATAATAGATTAATTATTAGATAACTATTGTAGAAACTTAACAGAGAGACACAAGAAAGAAGATGAACAGTGATGCCGGATAAAGAAATATTTTATTATTACTTTTCTACCCTTTATAGCCGGCCTATGTCTCTATTTATAAAAGACAAGCAGTAGATAGGTACACGTGTCAGCGTCTTATTGAACACAAGAATTAGAGATGAGTATTTATATTAGAGGTTCTTAACATTCCCCCTCAAACTGTGTTTTAGATATAATAGACAGTTTGTTCCTCAAATATTTGAATTTCGGTGTGGCCAACGGTTTGGTAAGGATGTCCGCAATCTGATCCACCGTGCTTATGGGTAGAAGACGGATCGTCTTGTTCAGGATATGATCGCGTATAAAGCGTTGATCGATTTCGATATGCTTTGTACGAGCGTGGAATACGGGATTGTTTGCGAGAGCGATTGCGGACGTGTTGTCACAGAAGACTTCGACTGGTGCTGAGTGAGAAATGCGAAACTCATTGATCAATCTTTGAGCCAGATAGTTTCAGCTGTGGCAGCGGCGAGAGCTCTATACTCCGACTCCGTTGATGACCGGGAGACGGTGTTCTGTTTCTTGACGGTCCAGGATACTAGAGTGTTGCCGAGAAATGTACAGAAGCCTGAGGTAGAGCGGCGAGTCACTGGATCAGAAGCCCAGTCTGCGTCCGAATATGTGCGAAGAGAGAGGTCAGATCTGGTAATGGGTAACCCGAAGTCCATCGAACCTTGGATGTATCGGAGCAGCTTCTTCAGCATTACGGTGTGTATAGACTCTGGTTTGTGCATATATTGAGAAAGGGTATTGACGGTGTACGCGATATCTGGCCTCGTCAGCGTGAGGTACTGAAGGCTACCGATGATCCTCCTGTAGATAATAGGATCGAAGAGCGGCGGATCTTCAGTTGGGATAGCTGTAATTTTTGTTAACGAGGGGTTAGCAACCGAGTTACACTTGTGTAACTCGGCCATCTGTAATATGGATTTGGCGTACGTGCTTTGTGAAAAAAATAACTTATCTAAGGTTCGATCAATCTGGATGCCCAGAAAGTGGTGTGCCGGCCCTAGTTGCTTCATAGAGAATTGAGATGTGAGTTTGTTGACGAGAATGTTGATGGCTTTTTCGTTGTTGCCCGTTAGAAGAATGACATCAACATATACAAGAAGATAAATCTGAACGTTGTCTTGATGTAGAATAAGGAGAGAGGGATCCGCTTGGCTGTGAGAAAACCCAATTTGATTGAGATAAGAGGTGAAAGTAGTATACCATTGTCTCGGAGCTTGTCGAAGCCCGTAGATTGCTTTTCGTAGCTTACAGACATGAAGAGGATGTGTGGCGTCTTCAAACCCTTTAGGTTGTTGCATATAAATGGTTTCGTTAATATCACCGTGCAAGAAAGCATTTGCCACATCCAGTTGGTGAATCTGCCATTTGTAAAACAGAGCAACCGTAAACAGAATTCGTATGGTTGGAAGTTTGGCGACCGGACTGAATGTGTCTTGGTAGTTGATGCCATATTCCTGTTGATTTCCTTGAGCGACCAGCCTTGCTTTGAATCTAGCTACGGATCCATCTGAGTTGTATTTTGTTCGGTAAGTCCATTTAGACCCAAGTATAGACCCAGTCGATGGCGGTGGTACGAGAACCCAGGTGCCCTGTTTTTGAAGAGCGAAGAATTCCTGTGCCATGGCTTGCCGCCATTCAAATTTCTTACTTGCTTCTGTATAAGTGGTCGGGTCAGCGGAAGGTTGAGTCTGGTGAAGCAAGTTGAGTCTTTGTATTGGCTTGAGAGAGCCTGTCTTGGATCGAGTGTTCATAGGATGGTTGACAGTGCGAGGCTGTGATGGATCGGAGACAATGTTGCGGGCAGGTTGCTCATGAGTGTTTTCTGTATTGGAGCATGGAATTGCAGGGAGCTGGTTGTGTTGAGTGCTGTTGTTGACGGCGGTTAGAGGAGGTTGAATGATGGACGGAGGTATAAGTAGCGGAGAGGGAAGCGGAGAGGTAGATGGGGTGGCGCTAGACGGGCTGTCTTTGTAGGGAAAAAGAGATTCGTTAAACTTAACATTTCGTGACACAAAAACTTTATTAGATACCTGATTTAGGCATTTATATCCTTTTGATACTTCAGAGTATCCCAAGAAGATACATGGCTGCGAAGTTGGGGACAGCTTCGTGCGATGGCCCGGCGAGAGCAAGGGGAAGCATTGACATCCGAACACCCTCAGGTGTGCATATGACGGTTTGATGTTAAATAACCGTTGTAGCGGAGAGATGTTCTTGGTAGTAGTAGAGGGGAGGCGGTTTATTAAATAAGCTGCAGTGACAGCAGCATCAAGCCAGAACGAATGAGGAAGACTTGCCGTCTGTAGGAGAGTTCTCGTGGTTGTGATAATGTGTCTGTGTTTTCGTTCGGCTATCCCATTTTGTTCTGGGGTATAGGGACACGAGTACTGATGGCGAATACCTGTAGTTTTGGTAAAAGTTTGAAAGTGAGTGTTGACGAACTCACCTCCACCGTCAGTCCTGATAGTTTTGATTTTAGAGTTCAATTGTCGTTCAATAAATTTAGTGAAGTTAATGAACGTGTTAGTAACCTCAGATTTGAACATAATAGGAAACAACCACGTATAGCGTGAGTAATCATCAACAAAAATGACATAGTACCGGAAGCCTTGGTGTGACGGAACCGACGAAGGTCCCCACACATCGGAATGAATGAGTTCAAGAGGGGAGCTAGTACTACTGGCCGAACTTTCAAACGAAAGTTTGTGGCCTTTACATGATACACAAGAAATACAAGTAGAATTAACAGGAAAAATACGTAAAGCAGGATTAGTAGAAGAAATGGATTCCAAGACGCGATGATGAGGGTGGCCGAGACGACGATGCCAGTTGTCCGATTTGGTGTTAACGGCTGGTAAAGCGGTAGCCATCGGACGTGTGGCTGTAGATGTGATCTTGTACATCCCGTTGCGGCAAGGTCCTTCAAGGATGATTTGATCTGTCTTCGGGTCCTTAAACACAAAGCCTTTTTCATCAAAAGTTATGGAGATGTGATTATCTTTAACTAAATTCGAAATTGAGAGCAAGTTATAGGAAAGGGAGGGAATATGTAAGAGTTTAGATAGAATCAGCTTACTGGTAGGGGTAGGAAGAATACCCGATCCCGTATGAGCAATCGGGACGGTTCTTCCATCCCCAAGAGTTACCGACTCGCTGCCCGTGTAGTTGGTGTAGAGCTCCAGGTTGTCAGCATTGTTGGTCATATGAGAAGATGCCCCGGAGTCAATGAACCAGTCCGAGGAATTCATGTTGTCATTATGAGCAGTGAGAGCGCTTTGGTTCTTGGTCGTGGGTAGACTGGGTGTGTAATTTGTATTGAGGCGATGCCAACATGCTTCTGCACTGTGGCCCTTTTTCTTGCAAATTTGGCAGACAACCGCAGCAGTGGCTGATGGAGCAGGTGCCTGTGACGACATATACTGGGGACGTCCGCGTCCACGTTTGCCACGACCACGAACCGAGTACAGAGCCGCTTGTTGGTCCGGCAATTTGGGAAATTTCAACGCCGCCGTTTTCATATGGATTTCTTCGCTCATAAGGAGGGCGTATAGTTGGTCAAGAGATAGAGATCCTTGCATTGTGCGGATCGTGGTGGTGAACGATTGATATGACGGAGGCAGTCCGTTTAGGATGAAGATGATCACATCTTCTGGATCTATAGACGATCCGGCGGAGGCAATTTGATCGACGATTTTCTTGATCTCAGTAAGGTACTGAGTCATAGACATCGTTTGCATCGAGATGTTGTGAAGCTCATGTTTGAGTTGAATTACCTTGGAGCGATTCGAAGATTGAAACCGGGTATGTAAGGTTTCCCAGATTGCTTGAGTTGAATCAAGGTTGATCACATATGGAAGCACAGACGGTGAGATGGTCGAGCACATGGCTGTTGCCAAGTTTTGATCGGTGATTAACCAAGATCGTGCGTCTTGATTTGGATCCACATTCTCTAATGTAGATTTTGGATCAAGAAATGACGCAAATCCATTGGCTCGGAAGAGTTTTGCTATTTGAGAGCTCCATATGGGAAAGTTGTCCGGTGTGAGGGCATGGGGCACCAAGAACTTGAGGTTGGAAATGACGAATTTCAGGGAGGAGGAGATGACCGGAGGTCCGGTGGTAGCAGCCGAAGCAGTGCCGATTGACGAGGAATCAGGCGCTTGATTCGCCATAGACGAGGTCCTCACAATCGACTGACTCTAGATACCATGTAGAAACTTAACAGAGAGACACAAGAAAGAAGATGAACAGTGATGTCGGATAAAGAACTAATAAAGAATATTTTATTATTACTTTTCTACCCTTTACAGCCGGCCTATGTCTCTATTTATAAAAGACAAGCAGTAGATAGGTACACGTGTCAGCGTCTTATTGAACACAAGAATTAGAGATGAGTATTTATATTAGAGGTTCTTAACAATCTTCTCTACTTACGTTAGTGAGAGGAGATTTGCTTATTAGTTTATAATAGATTAATTATTAGATAACTATTTATTATTCAAAGTATAATTAGGATATCATTTGGGATAATTTTATTATTATTTTCTAGAAAAATTTTTAGTACAAAAATTTTTTAATCTAAAAAATTTTGGTCTAAAAAACTGCATTAAGAAAGCTATCCCAAATCATATCTAAATTAACAAAGATTTTAATAAGACTCGTGATATTTTTAGTGTAATTCTATATGATAAATTTAGAAAAATATAATTTAATACATGGTTAAAACTTTAATTTTCGAAGGATAATAATTAATCTAAGTTTATTATGGAGTAATTCATGTTAACTTGGTTGCACTTGTTTTAGTTAATAAACTACTAATTTTTAATGCATATGTACATTTGCATACTTGTGATTGATGGAATTTCATATTATTTAGAGCTTTCGAGTAGATACTCATCTAATAATTTTATTTTGAATCTCAAAAGAGCGTAATTTCAAGACACTACAATTTTATTCATTAGAAAATAAAATTATTATTTCTTTTAGGAGTTCTATCTTTGATACTTATAGTAAGTTTCTTAGATATAATTGCGGGCTAAAATATACGCGGCGATAGAGTTATAGTTATATGCCTTAGCGTTGTATGGCTATCCAGCTTACACACAGATAAGATAAGATTTTTATGTGGAAATCCTGGAAGGGGTAAAAATCATGGGGCTTAGCCCAGTTAAAAATGATTACACTAGAATTTAAGTTAGACACAATGGGCTAACTCGTCCCTGAGGGCAATCAGATTACAAATATTAACCGTATGGTTGTAGTCTGGTGACAAATTGGGAAGAAAATCTAGCGTCGCTTGATGGAAGTCTGGCCGTCAAGATAGTTTTTTGAGATTTATGTCTTATCAAAATAAATTTTTGATGATGTATTAGATATATATACCTAGTAAATTATTAGTTATTCCTTTTAAATTCAGTTGTTATTATATATATTTTATAAATTTCATATAATTTCTATAATGAAATACCTTGTGATATAATGGATATAATTTTGTTATAATTAATGGTTGAATATATTCTTTAAATTTGGAATGATGATGGAAAGATAAAAAAATTATTCTCACAAATATTATCTTAATTAAATATAATAAATGTTCATCATACCAATTATGTTTTATAATTCATGATATATTTGGGACGGCTGTAACATTTATAATTTATAAAAGGTGGCTATGAAGTTCTTAGGATATTAATTTATTGAAAGTAGGTGTGAGTTTAATCAATGTATCATTTTTTAAAAAAATTGAACAACATTTTTCTTATAGCTCTCATATATTTATATTTAAAGTTTTCTCTTTTAAAAATAAAATAATTTTAATTCATGTTAATTTTTTAACTTATCTTATAAATTGAGATTAATTTTTTCATCAAATATCAAATCATTTCCATGTACCCTCTTTGAGATATAAAAATACTAAATAAAAATAAAATAATATAATCGAGTTTGATTGTACAAAATAATGTCTTATTTCTAAATAAACATCTTTTTATTGTTTATTTCTCAGCCCTTATTTACATATATTTGAGCTCTTGAAGTCTTTTTTTTCTTCTTTTTTTTTTTCTTTTTTTTTTTTTTAAGAAAGAGCACTCAAATTTGATCCATCACGGCATTACTTTTCGTCTAGCTTTTTCGCCCTAGCCGCTCTGCTAGGGTTTCCTGGCTCCGGGATTTTCTCCCTCGCCCGGCGGGGGTTTCCTCTCCGGTGATCTACCGTTTTCAGGGAAGTTTTCCTCTTCGCTGCTTCTTCATGTTCTTTTGGTAACTTTAGTTTTTTCCTTCTTTCGCCGGTTGTGCTGGCATGGCGTCTTCTAAGCTTAAAGACCCTGGTTTTTTTGGGGGGGTTGCTCATTCGCGTTCATTTTTGGAAGCTTTTGCTGGTTCTAAAACTCCTTTTCCAGATTTGCATGTTTCTACTTTTCGTGGCCTACCGTCTCTTTGGATTTCCGATCAGGAAATCAACGAGCTTGCTGCCCCTTTTCAGTTCTCTTTAGTTGGTTTTTTTCCCTCTAAAATACCTCCTTTAGATGCTATTCGTAAATTTTTTTTTTCAATTTGAAGTTGAAAAATGAGGTTTCCGTTACTGTTTTGGATCCTTCGCACATTTTGATCAAGCTATCTAATGATCTCGATTACTGTAGGGTTTTCTGTCACCGTTCTTACCTAGTTTTCAATTGCTTTATGAAATTAACCAAGTGGTCACCTACTTTGGATATTGGTGTTGAGTCGCCGGTGATACCGATATGGATTTCTTTTCCTCGTCTCCGTCCTCATTTCTTCTCTCCTCGCATTCTCTTTGGGCTTGGCGGGTTATTTGGAAAGCCCCTGAAAATTGATGAAGCGACTGTTGTTGGTTCACGACCTTCAATTGCTCGTGTTTTAGTTGAGCTTGATATAACTAAATCTTTTCCTAAGCAAGTTTGGTTAGGCTTGGAATCTTTAGGTTATACTCAAGAGGTGGTTTTTGATGAGTTTCCTCAATTTTGTGCCAGTTGTAAATGTATTGGTCACTCTCAGGGCAATTGTCGACCTACTTTACCTGTGGTTCCAACGTTTTCTTCTCCTCCTAACGCTAATTTAGATGTTGGAAATGTTGAAAATGTTATTTCTCATACGGTTGTGGTCCTTGTGGAGTCCGAAAATGCTATTGTTGTTTTAGCTCCCGAGGTCTTCCCTGTTGTTGAATCTCCATCCGATACCCCTGTTGTTGGTGGGGTTTCTGTTTCTTTGACGGAAGTTAATTGTGAGGTTATTCCACCTGTTAGTGAATGCGACCTATTACTACTGCTGTGGAATCTTTTGTCCTTCCCGTAACTGCAGAATCTGCTCCTAAAATTGATGAGCCTGGCTTGGTCTCTTTGGAACATGGTGCGTTAAATATGATTGATCGGGATCTGATTGTCCCAGGTTTAGATAGGGAGGAATTGGATGTGGGTGGAGTTAATTCTATTGCTATTACGAATATTTTATCTCCAAATGCTTTACCCTTTTTTCCTCTTGTTTTGGTACCGACTAATACTGTGGAGAATTTGATTCCTGCTGTAGCTGAAGTTGTGATTCCTCCGTCCAGTGTTGAAGTTGCGTGCAATCCGGTTGGCAGTAGTTTTATTGATGTCCCTGTGAATTTGGTCGATACCCGTATTATGGCTAATTGTATAGGTAATAGTTCTGGATTGGATATTAGGAACCATCTAAATTGATTGAATGGTTCGTCGGATGGTGAATCTGAATCCGATTTTTCTGAATGTGGCTTGGATTCTCCAGATTTTTGTGGGGGTTCTGACCCTGGTAATGATTTCAATTTGGTTAGGGCTAGACCTGCTTTATCTGTTGCTTCTCGTGGGATTTCCCGTGGTAGAGGTCGGCGTAGACGTTGATGTTTTGGCGCTCGAGAGGCTTTGGGCTATGATGTGGTCGGGGCTCGTGTCCCTGTCGTTTAGCTTGTGGCAACCTTTGATTGGATGGTCTGTGCGAGGCCTCAGGGACGCTGGTAGTCTTGGCTGTCTACTGAGCCCGCCTTTCTCTTTGGATGTATTTTCTTTTGCTTCTTTTTATTTTATTTCTACTCCTTTGTAAGCGTGGATTTTTATTTTCAATATATCTGCTTTTTGTTAAAAAAAAAAAAAAAGTCTTTTTTTTCATGGCCTCTGACCCCTTTACTCCTCAATTCCATGTGATCACCATACGATGACTTCGAGCTATTTTATTCCAAATATAAATTTTCAGTGCAAAGCATTCCAGCATTTTTTAAATTTACTTTATTTTTTTATAATAATGTACTAAAACTTCATTGGGAATCAAGTTAAAAGTTTTTTTTTAATATAATCATCACTCATTCTAATATAAATTGATATTTGATAATCTTCATTATAAAAAAATACTCTCTTCAATTTAAAAATAATAATTATCAAAATTATTGTTAAAATAATAAGCATGTAAAATAAGAGATTATAACAATAAAATAAATATTAATATGAACTATCATGATAAATGAAAAACTTCAAAGACTAAACTTATATAATTTTATTTCATTTTCACTACTTTCATTCAAATAAAAGCCTAACATAATTTAAAAAAATAAACTGTTGTTTCTGAACTTAAAGGGCAAGAGAAAAATGGAAAGTAGGATAAGACAAAAAATAAAATAAAATTCATTAAAAGATTAATGGAAAATATTCTACATTGGCACTTAAATGCATAAGCACCCAAGCATGAAAATTCAACCAGTTATAAAAACACAAAGCTTGAGGTAAATTTCTAACTTCCCAAAATATTAGACAATTCTTCAAAACATAATTTTTTTTTTTAAAGGAAAAAATTCTAAATTTACCTTGACTTATATTTTTAAAATAAAGTAGACTCAGGTAGGGGTGTCAATTTCGGGTCATTGGTCGAGTTCGGGGTCAAATCCAAACCCAGAACAAACCTAGCACTATTTGGGTCGGTTTTTCGGATCCGAACCTGACCCGATTCGAGTTCAGCAGCGGCAAAAATCACGTTTTTTTAGGTCTATGACGGCCAGCAGTGGTAGGCGATGCGACGCGGCATCGCCGAATCGCGGGCAGCGGCGTCGTGCAGCAGATGCAACAGCTGTAGCGCCGCAACGGCTCGCGGGTAGCGACATCTCAGGCAGCACGGGCAGGCGATGCGACACGCGATAGAGCGATGCGATGAGCGACAGAGAGGGCAAGCTATGCGGTCAGTGTGGGCAGCCAGGTCATTTTCGGGTTTCCAGGTCAACCCGAACCCTGCCTGATTTTTGAAACTGGTTGAAAACCCCAACACAAATCTCACCCTGTTAGGGCTAGGGTCAACCCAAACCCGAATTGACACCCCTACAAGAGGTCCGCGTAAAGTCATGAAAAAAGATTACCATTAGAATTTGTTTACACCAGGACTCAGCCAGATTACTTTACTGAAGAAGTCGGTTCTTAAGTTTGAAAGAAATTGGAGAAAAAAAACTAATAAAAGTCTTTGGGAGGTTGGACCCGTCGTCTAAAACGCAGCTGGCAATGTCATGATTGTGAAATGTTTCCTTGTTGCTAATTACTCTCCTTAATGGTGATGGTTGTATAAGTTTGAAAAATACTGTAGAAAATTAGTAAAGCCCGATTTCTACTTTTATCGTATGTAAAACTACCTTCGCCGGTTGGACCAATCTTCTAAAACGCAGGTGCATGCATCAGATGAATGCCGAAGAAAATTCAGCAAAGAAGTATGGAGCGATCTAAACGAAGAGTCCGTGCACGAGTCTTCTCCACATCTAGAACTGCAGAACCTGTAAGCCGGTCAAATTTTGATAATTCTAACTCTTTAAAACTTGTATTAGAAAAAATTCATAATTTTTAAACTAAAACTAATCCTGAGATTGATCCCGATTTACACCTTGTCACCTCAACTTAATTTTTTTTTCCCTCTTGCGCTCTGGAAGCAGAAAATCTTCGAAGATCAACCCCGTCAGTCCGGTCAGAGGAGAGAAATTGCCGATTTTTCAAACACATCTAAATGTTCTGTTTTCAAAATTCCGGCCATATAATAACGGTTTTCGCTAACGATCAGCAAAAAATCTATGGCCCTTCTCCTCCTTGTTCTCCTATCCTTGTTTTCCTATCCGGCGACTTCAGACCTACTCAACCACAAATGCAACACCGGTGTAGGAAACTTCATCAACAAGAGCACCTACAGCACAAACCTCAACCACCTCATCTCCAGTCTCTATTATACCGTCACCACCACCGGCTTCGCCACCTCCATCATCGGCAGCGGCCCAGACCGCGTCTGCGGCCTTGCCATATGCCGCGGAGACATTGGCACTGCCAGCTGCCGCTACTGCATCTCCACCGCCATTACCAACATCCAGCAGTTCTGTCCAAACAACAAAGACGCCACCATATGGTACGACCACTGCCTATTCCGCTACTCCAGCCTGAACTTCCTCTACGTCCCCGACGTAACGATGAATAACCAGTTTTTAATGTATAACACCATGACCGTCTCGGCCGACCAAATGCTGCACTTCGAAATCCTGACAACTGCAATGATAGACAACATAACGGATCTTGCCGTGAGAAATACGTCACGGCTTGTTGCCACAGGCGAGATGAGGCTTCCGACAGCGGACATTATATACGGAATGGTACAGTGCACCCGAGATCTCTCGGCAGACGAGTGCCGCACATGCCTGCAAGGAATGGTAGGGGAGATCACCAAAGGTCCGCTGAAAGGAATGAGGGGAGGAAGGGTGATGGGGTTTTGGTGCTTTATGAGATATGAGTTCTACAAGTTCTACGACGGCATTTCCATGCTACAGCTTTCTTCTTCTAATCAGACACCGCGGCCATTGTGGCCATCGTCGCCTAGAAATAATTGGTCAACGCCGAATGCTACCCATCCACCGGCGGATTTATCTCATAGAGGTACTTTGAGCTCCAAATTTTATATGCTTATAATCAAATAAAACATCTTAGGAAGCTGAATCGAACATGCTTAATAATTTTGACATCATTAAGTTATCCAAATGCAGAATAAAATGATTTATGATCAACATAATTAATATGGGTCGTGGTATAAAATGTTTTAAAAATTTGTTATGTTTACAAAGATCACCCTATTAAAAAAACTATAAATGTTGGCTTGAAATAAGATAAAGCTCAACTGCCCAACTATTGTAATTCGTTCTTCGCCATGAAATTGGAAAAGTTGAACCAATGCCATCATCATTTGACCATCGAAATTGCATCACATATTGAATCAAAGTAGCTCGATTTTGATCCTCTATCTGCCATCACACTATTATGGTCCTCCCTCCATATTGCTTAGTTAAGGTCTTGCAACCACCTTTATCATATTACGATTCTTCGATTTCTGTAACCTAAGCAAGGTCATCCAACCTTTGTAACTCAATTACGGTTCTCTGACCACTGTTGTATAACCTCAGTCTCATCATCACAATTGTCTAGTTGTGTCAACATGCACTAACTTCATCGTCATCTATTGCCACCAATATCAATGAACACTCTCACTTATATGCTCAATGTGCTTCATCGACACCAACTATGACTCTTAAATCAATACTTAGGTTTATACTCAATTTCTTGATTTGTAGTCAACTTTGAAAAGAGAAAGACATATTATGCTACAAATAATCACTTGAAGACAAGCTCAATGCCTCCAAACACTTACAAATCACACCATGACACAAATTCTCTATAATTAGCATTTATTATATTGTATCAATGCTTTTTTTTAAAGAAAATATCAATGATTTTTACTGCTATAAAGAAAGGTATTATTTGTATCCAATAAAATACACTAATAAAATAATTTCAACTAAGTCATACCCCATTTTTTACTTTCTAAATTTTAGACATAAAAAACCTGACGTCCCTTCCATTGCAATTTTTTTTATTTATATCTATATTAATCTTCATACAAAATTAAGATATTAATTTTTTTTTTTCCAACCACCGTGAATCTTCATGCAATAATCATCAAATGATGCTTAAATTTTCTTTTTGAATTGGATAAAACCACACTATCTTATATTTCTGATCTTTTTTTTTTCTATACGTCTGATCAAATATTTTTATCTTCTGACCGCTGACCATTCACTTCTAATATATTTATTTTAGATTTTTTTTTTTCTTTTTGACTACCGAACTTCTGCTTCTAATTTATTAAATTTTGTTAGGAGCACGTGGCAATTTTTGTTAGGAAAATGGTAATATAGCAGACCTCATGTAGTAGGATAAAGACTTATTATTTTTGTTTGTCCTCTATAAATTGAACAATTAAAACTCAAGGAAGAACAAGAGCTTAAGAAGAAAGATATTCATATGATAATGATTGAAAATAAACTCTTCATCAAACAAAGATCAAGCCCCCATAAAGATAAAAATATCTGAAAAAAATAGTAAAAAGATTCCTAATAAAAAAGGATAAGTCCCTTAAAAAATAACCACCAACATGACTTGATAAACCTCAAGGAGAAATTAATAGCTCCTATAAAGCAGTGAGGGTGAGGGTGGTACTGAGAAGGACTGAGTACTCAAAGAAGCCTCATCATTGTAACATATAAGTGAGCTGAAATATTTCTCTTGAAGCCAAATGATTGAAATAAAATAGCAAAATAATGCAGAAGAAAGTAAGCCAAATCACCTCAATTGTGATTCATAATATTGCAAAATGAGCAACCAACATACATTTAATGTAAGGGTAACAATAAATCTCATTATGAAATAATTTATAGGGTGAATAATATTGATAAAGGGATATAACACTACATACACATCAACCTATCTCAAGTGCCAATTAGAACGAACCTACATTACTAGCAAAAAAATGGAAAAGAAAGCAATTGAACTATACTAGATCACATATCCACAAAAGAATATAACTTAGTAACAATAACGAAACCATTGAGCAATGTCCAAGGAAATAAACAATGGCTATGAAGCCAATAAATCACAAAATGGAGCAGGTCTCAAATTCCTTATATAACAACATAAAAAAGAGTAAGGTGATTTACTAGGTATTTATTCAATATTATTGGATGAATCACAAGGTGTGGGAGGCATAAAGTATTTTACATAAGAAGACTGCAAGAAATATGTTATGTAGTCTTGTATGAATTGATGACTGTATAAGTTGATGTATGGAAACTTTATTAGAATGAAATTATAAGTCAATTTTGAGTTTTTCTATGGAGTTAAGAAGGAATTAAGAAGAAGAAAGACAGAGGAAAAAGAGTAAAAGAGGAAAAAATCAAATAATTTTGATTTAAGGAGTTTGAAATATCATCTCAATTAATTAGTGTTAACTTTTTGAGAAACTTCTGAAGTGGAGAAAGTTTTAGTATTTATTTAATATTTTTCTATTCTTATTGAGCAAGGGTGTATTTCAATTTTTGGAAGGGCAAGTGTGTGTTCTTTCTAGTTGATCATAATTATGAATTCTTTTATAGTAAATTAGATACTCTCACCTCTCTTATAGATGTAAGCTTATTTAAGTCAAGCCACAAAAATTTATATCTTCATTTTTTATGATGTGTGAACTCATTTACAACTATTGTCATCATTATATTTATTATTATTGGCTTGATGCTTTCATTTTATAAATTTATTTTTTATATTTTATAATCATTTTTCTTGTAATATATTACATATATCAATGCAGGAAAAAGTATGATAGGCCATATTATGACAATTACCCTTCCAATAGCTGTTGCGCTTGTTCTCATTACCACAGCTGGGATGTGCTTTTGGACAAGAAAAGCAAAGATGAAGATATATCGTAAGATTTTTATAACCTAAAGTGTTGCTTAACTAAATTTGGTATTGTCATTGTTTATACATGTTCCCATTATTATAGGAATTATGTGTGTTCAAGCATAATAATATACAAAAAAAAAAAATTAAGAATTATATAGGGCAATATAAAACTAGTGAAATTTGAATCAATTCATCATATACATTAGAACTCACATAGTAGGGGACAAGTTGAAGTCCTAATGTGCGGATGGGAGGTAATACTTAAAACGTTTTAGGGCTTTGATATGTTTGGATACTTTGACAAAAGAAGTTATGATGCAAAATGTGAAATCCAGGTAGAAGAAAGAATCATGCAATATTTAATTGCTGCATTAGGTTTTATATATTTTTGCTATGCAGTATTATGTTAGTGTTCAAAATTTTGTAATAATTCAAAAATATGTATACCTACATAGGTGAGGGTAACGTTGAGGAGATTACAAGTGTTGAATCTTTATTTTTTGATCTACCTACACTTGAGGTAGCAACAACAAATTTCTCAGAACACAACAAAATTGGTGAAGGTGGCTTTGGTTCTGTTTACAGGGTAAAATAACTTGCAAATTGTTCATTATCTACCTTAAATAAAAAAATAAGAATTAAGTGTATTATTATCTCTCAAAAATGAAATTTACTAATCTTTAATTTTTTATCTTTTCTTAGGGATTATTACCCGATGGACGAGAAATAGCAGTGAAGAGGCTATCAGTAAGGTCAAGGCAAGGGCTTAGTGAGCTAAAAAATGAATTTATTCTAGCTGCTAAACTTCGACATAAAAATCTTGTAAGACTACATGGTGTGTGTCTTGAAGGACAAGAGAAGTTGCTTGTTTACGAATATTTGCCCAACAAAAGCTTAGATACCATTCTCTTTGGTAAAATTCTAGTACTTAACATATTTGCTAAATTCAAACTTACGTCTTTAGTAAAATTTCACAATGGTTTTTCTCATCTCACTTCAGTTTATTCATTATTATATAAAAAGAGGTCAACTTCGAATTATATTGCACTTTCATCAACTTGATTCATTGGTTTTATTAACTCATGCAATACTCATTATTATAATATATATATTTTTTGGAACAGATCCAAGAAAAAGTGAACTACTTGACTGGTTGAAAAGATATAAGATAATAGAAGGAATTGCTCGTGGCCTACTTTACCTACAAGAAGACTCTAACCTAAAGATCATTCATAGGGATATTAAAGCTAGCAATATATTGTTAGATGAAGACATGAACCCAAAAATATCAGACTTTGGCATGGCTAGGTTGTTTAAAGGAGATGCGACTCACGAGATAACAAGTCGCATTGCAGGAACATAGTAAGATGAATAAATCTTGAATTTTATTAATTTTGCTTCTTTTATTGTAACAACATCATAAAAATATGAGTTTCTTACAGCGGGTATATGGCTCCAGAATATGCAATCCATGGCCATTTCTCAATCAAGTCTGATGTCTTTAGTTTTGGAGTACTAATTTTAGAGATGATAACAGGGAGGAGTAGCAATGGATTCTTCGATGATGAGCTTTCTGAAAACCTTTTAAGCTATGTATGTATTTCTTTTTGATGCTTTGAAACATATTACATGTTTTTATTCTAAATATTATGCATGGTGATTCACTTTGAATAGGTATGGGAGAATTGGAGTAAGGAAACAATCTTTGAGATTGTGGACCAAGCTTTAGGCAAACTATATCAAAATAGTGAACTCATAAGATGCATCAATATTGGACTTTTGTGTGTGCAAGAGGATCCAGCTCGAAGGCCTACCATGATAGAAGTTCTTGTGATGCTCAATAGCTATTCCATGACTCTTAAAGCTCCTTCACTACCAGCTTTTCTTGACAAGGGAAGTGGCATCCAGACTGGTACACTTTCAAGAAAATTTAATGTGTATGAGGATGACACTTACAGATCTTCAAGCAAGTCTATGCCAATGTCACCTAATGGAGTGTCAATTTCAGAGCTAGATCCTAGATAAATTAGTTTAAGAAAAAGCAAGTTTATATTTAATTATTTTCTAAGACTATTATACAAATTTACAACTGTAGCTCACCATGATACATTTATATGTTAGGAGTGCAAGATAAATAATTAAAATTAAAGGACATTTGATAAGAAATCTAAGATAATGCAATTTTATCTTAGAACAAATAGTGAGTTTGAAAGTCATTTTGCTGTACAAAATAATTGCCTTGCAAATTTTAAACAAATTTTCTATATTTTTTATCAAATGTCCTACTATTTTGAGCATGTATTGCACCCTTGACATAAAATCCAGTATAAATTTTTCACATTTTTTCCAACCCTTATTGCTTTACTAAATTTTTAAGCATCCAAATTTTGAATGTTAATTACATTTTCTAAATGCTTTCAGATATTCAAATAACTTAGTAATATATTTATTTAGAGCTATTTATTGGCACACACTTCTTTTATTCAAGATTATGTATTATGTTAACATTGAGTCGCTTCATAAAGAGCTTTGCATATGCATGAACTTTAAGGAGTTGACACAAGGAAAATTTTAGAAATGTGTAACAAAGCTATGGTAGAATGAGATAGAACAGGTTGGTTCATATTACAAGATTATATGAAAGCTATATGTGTGCATACTAATAATAAATATAAAAAAGGATCAGTGAATGTTTAAGAGATTATGATACTTGAAAGAAAATTTTAGGGAATGATATACAATGGCAAAAGCTTTTGAGCATATTTTTTATCAGATAACAACTATATGATACTAAATATATTAAGATTATGGAAAAGCACCACAAAAATGTTATATGATTATTGATATAGAGAAAGCTAACTATATAACCTTGTGATATTAAGTGCTAAAGTAGCTCATATTATGAAAGAGCTATAACTTGATGAAAAGTTGAAGTGACAAACTTACATTTATATTATTTGTTACCCAAATGGATTCATCCTTTCCATTGTACCAGGATTCTCACTTTATGGATTTTTTACTATTAAGTTCTATTGATCTTAATCGACACCTCTACATTGTACTAACCAACATCCACCACTTCCCCTTTTAACCTACTGCTTACAAGTAGCTATGTAAGGAGCGCTTGGTTCCCCCTTTAATGTTGAGAAGTAATTCACTTTCTAAGACTTCTTATAATAATATTATTTGTAATATTCTAATTAGAAATATAGAAAAAAAAAAAGCCTAAAATAATCCCATTACTATTAGTATATTATAAATTTAGTCTCAAAATATCACATTTCTTTAATTTTATCCCTCGAATAACAAAATTGAATGAATTACTCCCTCAAACACTAAATTGAGATCAAATACGCCAATTATGTAGAACTCATATATGCCAATTATGTAGGAATGAGCAATTCATCAATGTTTAGATCATATACCAAGCTTTCAACCCCAATATGAGTTTTTAATTTATATGTTTCATCCATGAATATTAATAACTTAGTAAAAGACATGTATATTGAGATGAACAAGAATTTGTCGAGCTTGTGCTAGTTGGAATTGTCTCGTCGAGCCGCTCAATTCGATTATAAACATGTCACGTTTGGAAACCTTTTGGTAATCCAAATTATTGTTTGAACATTCCAAATGCGCTTCAGGTCCTCAATTTGGATCTATTTGAGCTCGGATTGAGTTGGATTTGAGGTCGTTGGGTTTATATTTAAATTTTGAGATGCTCAATTCGACTGTAAGTTTGTCGAAATCAGAGTTTAGATGGTCTCCGATTTAAATTTTGAAGTTTCGAACTTGATTTTTTGCTTTGAGATTCATGCCAATCAATCAATATATATATATATATTAAATCCGAAGCTAAAATGCAAAGGCATAATGGCAAAGAGAATCTCAGGTTATATGAATAGTAATTTATAAAGACCATTTGAATGGAAACTAAGGAAAGTTGCCATCAGATTAAGCATGGACTCACACATTAATGCCAAAATTATGTAAATATAAGCCATACTAATTTGGATAACGTATGAGTTATTGGGCATTATAGAATATTCAGTTACTCATATTGATTTAGGAAGGCAATTCCAATGGTTCAGTTACTCACGCGACCTTGGCTTCCCTCCTCCGGCCTCGACTCCGATTTACGCAAGCAAAGCCGCCGAGCCACCCGAGGTTTTCTCCCTCCACCAGTGTCCGACTTCAAGCAAGGCTGAAGGCTTTAATTCAACCTATCCTGTGTGTCTGCCTCTTGCCCGATCCAACTAAGCCGGTGCCTGTAATTTCCGCTGCTTGAAATGGTGAATATAATATAGAGGGGAGAAGGTTATTAATAGTAATTACTATTGTAATTACTATTAAACATTATCTATTTTATAATATATATAAACAATACGTATTATATATACAACAACTAGAGGCATCGCCGTCAGCAATCCAAGCAATCGAAAACCAAATCTCCTCACCTCGATCGGGTCGGGGAGGGGACGCCGGAAGACTGTCGAAATTTCCTCAAAAATTTAGGACTTAGTCAAATTTTTGAAATGCAATCTTCGACAATCTCCGGCAACCAATCATCGCCAATCAAAGCTTCTGAAGACCAAATCTCCTCGCCGTTGATTTGCTCCGGTCGAGTAGAGTCACTCCTTATCTCCCGGCGCTGGGGAGGGGACGCGGTGAAGCTGCCGAAATTTTCTCAAAAATTTTGGGCTTAGAAAAATTTTTGGAAGGATTTTGGAAAACATAAATTTCATTTGAAATTGATTAAATTGAGTATGACTTAACTAATAAATAAAAATGATTAAATGATTAATTCAAAAATCCAATTTAAATTCAATGAAAGATATAATCAACTTAAAAAACTTTAATCTGAATCTTTAATTGATTTAATAATTAATTAACTTAATAATTAATGAATGAACTTAATGAAATTTGAATCTATATAAAATTCATCTGGTTGGACAATTCTAAACTTTAAAACTTAAATTATAATATTTAAAGTAATGTAAAACCTGAAGTCTAAACTTAATTGAAAATTAAATAACTAATTGAATTAATTAATTAACAAAATCGGTTAACTGCCAAAACGACTAATCCTAAAATCAATTAACTGAATAATTAAATTCATTAACTATAACCAACCCAATCAAACGATTAACTCTAAAAATTTTTTTTTAAATTCAATTTCAAATAACTAAGCAATTGATTTAATATAAAAATATAAAATAAAAATAAAATACAATTATGAAGCTTAGTTAAAACTTCAAATTCTGAACTAAAGCTCAGTTAATTGAACTAATATTAAATTTTGAATCAAATTGATAAATTAAAATCGTTAATTAAAGCTAACAGTTAATTAGTTAATATAAAACCTTTGAATTGACAAATTAAGCAAATAATCTAATTTCATATAAATAATTTTTTAAAATTCATTTGAAATCCAACCTAATGAACCAATCAATTCAATTTTAAAACTTAAATTCAATTAATAAAAATTTATTTGGTTAATTCATCTAATTAATTAATGCAAATCAAAATAAAATAAAATACATGAAATAAATGTTTCCAATAATCCAATTCATGTACAAACTAATAAAAGCTCTCCAACTGACATCTCTCCAAAACAAACTCTCAAAGCACTCAACAAATTCTCGAAACAACACTCAGTAGTAGCCTCAGAAAATATGTTTTTGTGCTATCTAAAATCTATAAACTCTCCAATCTACTACAAGTACCCTATACCTGAAAGAAAGCAAACAAAAATATCAGCTCAATATATATAAATAAAGTAAGTATTGAAACAAAACTAGTACTGATAAAAAAAAGGAGAGCTAACACTGTGAGTAAATAAAACTGCTACTGTAAGCAAGGCTAGTGTTGAAACAAGCAATGAAAGCTAATGGTGAAAGTAGAACTGCTATGAAACACTAAAACATGTGTTGAGATGGGGAAGTGTGTAAAGTTACATCCCCACTTATCTAAGTCTTATAGGTTACTTCTAATGGAAGTAGTAATTCCTATGAATAATTATTTCACTAAGTATATCTATTAAAGGAAACGATACTCTTAAAATTCACATGGCTACATTCAATGAAAGCCCTAAGTCCAGTCTTTAGGGGTAATAGTTAGAAAGCAACCTAACTGTAGACCCCTTAATTGGGCATCTTAGCCTAGCTATATGACTAAGTTGTAAGACCCGCCACCTGGGCTACTTCTAAGTGATGCAGTAAGACCCGTATGTTAGAGAACTTCTAAGTGAACGAACCTAAACCCAAAAATCAAACCACAACGGGCATCCTAGTCTAAAAGGGCTAGGTTGTAAGACCCACTCTTTGGGCCACTTAGCTTACAGAGCTAGGTCGTAAGACCTGTCATTAGGCAACTTCTAAGGAAGTCATAAGACCTACCCAACCAAAAATTTCTTCGGGCAACCTCTAAAAGAGGTCGTAAGTCTCACTATTAGGGCAACTTCTAAGGAAGTCATAAGCCCCTATCCAAATCTAGTCACACGGGCAATTCCTAATTGGAGGCATAAGCCCCAAACTAAACAAATTAACGAGCAACTTCTAATTGGAGCCATAAGCCTCCAAACTAAACAAATTAACGGGCAACTTCTAAGGAAGCCATAAGCCCCAACCCAAACTAAGCTAAATTAAATTAAAATTCACAAATCGTCACTTCAGTATACTCGGGATCCCTGAAAGGAGGCAACCCATGGCTGCTAATCAAATTTCCTTGACACTACAATCAATAGTTGTTAGTGTTGGCATACTAAACCCACGGTATGCCCAGGATGACGGAACCATGGGATATTTATCGGGTGTACCTTCATCCTCCCCATAACTAAATTTAAATCTCTATTGCACATTCACACACTCCTTGCATGAAGTTATGTATATTTAATCCTTAATTGAGAGTGCTCTTCTAATGCGTTAGGAGATGTATTTAACTATGAGGGCTTGTACTCATAGGAAGTAGAACTCAGATCTAAATATACTCTGATATTACTCTCAGGGAAAATCTAGTTAAATATCAAACTCAATCTACCTCCGAAAAAATTAAAAGGGAATCATAAGTTCGTAAGAGCGGGGTTCGCATTTTTATTTTAAAAGATTTTTTTTTGGAGCGATCAGTGAGTGAAGGAGATAATTTTATCTAATCTACCAAATAAATCTGGCTACATTGAGACAATAATAAAAAAAATCAATAAATTTTAAAAATTATTGGGAACTCACCTATCTCAAGCAAAGAAAATTATCACAATTTGAGTAGTCAATTTAAAGTTTAATTCGAACAAGGTCAA